ATACTCAACTCTGTACGACTAATATAGATATTCGGTTATTGATTGATTTTATTAATCGATAAATTGCTCTTCTAGATGTGCCATCGATCCGATAATTGTGCCGGATGTAGTTTACAACAAAGAAAACAATTTGGCTTTTGCCTGCAGTGAATGTGTTCAAATTTGCCGATAAGGTGAGATTACTGTAGCATGGCGCTTTACTTTGGCACGGTCGTGATACGGTATTGTGACGCATTTTCCATTCCATATTCAGATTACCACCTATTTCCAATGCGCTATAAGTACGTGCTTGATTGCTGAAGGAACGTGCAATGGAAGAACGGTGAGAATTATTGATTTCTTGAAGTTACAACTCTTCCAAGTACCAATTGAGTTGGATACTTCTTCACTTGTGGATAACCTTTGCCATTTTAGCCACCACGTTGTGGACCGGGCAGCCAACGACCCCGTTTGGTCAGATCAATTGACGAAGTACGAAACAGTACTCGATCGAGATGGATTCGACTTGACAACACCATGGATGTCTCGGCGCAGAAAATTACTGTTCTTGATCTGCAAGAAACTCCTTCTGGCACGGTAATATCACTAATGATTTAACACACTGACGCAGCGTGGTGCACTATTGCTCCATACACCGCAAGTCCTGTGGGACAGCGTGGTCCGATATCATACCGCACTGCGATTCATTGTTTTTGCCACATACAGAACACTAGTCCAGTTTTTTTTATTTCTGTATTGCAAATCAGACCATACTTAAAAATACGCCCCTGAATGAAACTGGTGCGGTTCTTGCTCACAAAAATGGAAGCTTCAGTGTGAAGTGAGCCGCGTGTGAACAAAAGAAGAGAGCAATTCTCCAGAAACGCTAAAATTAGCGATCAGGAACTCAGCCGTTTATGCAGTGACACTGAGATACTGAGCACCGAACAGAGAGGATAGCGAGAGAGCGGCAGACACAGTATGCTGCGCAAAGGTCCCTGCACGATGTGGCGTAGAAAATAGTCAGATGAATTGAATTGCCTAGTATTTTCTAGCTGTTTCCCGGTTTTTCGGCCGCGCTAATGTGATCACGCTCGTCCCATATGGCTAAAAATCGCAAAAGTCCTGCCATCAATGTGGGAAGCCACCTCGGAGCTATGTATATTAGATCATGCATTGAGATTACATGATGTATTGAGGCTTCCTATTTCCAAGTATGCTCGATACTTGAGGCGAAAGTGATATAGCGGTAGAAGCGCCGCTTACCGCGCTCTTACTCCAGAGCTCAAATCTAGGAGCGAATCTTATTCAAGCTAGGCCACTTTACATTCGGACTTTACATACGGCTTACATCCATTTGGGGGGGGGCCCCACATTAATTGGTATCAGATCGTTTTCAGGATTAAATACACTTGATTGGTATGCACTCTGTTGGAGCGCTCCACTTCGCTGCAGTTGCACCGATTTACCCAACCAAAGTATCGCGTTTCAATTGCCGTCTAGCAATTTCACAGCGGAAGTGAAATGCCATGGCGCCGGCGAAAGCGCTTTGATCACAGCAAACGCCATATTTTACCGTTCTGTTCCTTGTTCCATTAATCAGCATCGCGCTGCGAGTAGTGCAGTCCTTTTCTTATCTTCGTCACTGCTACAAAATTTCGAAAACTCCCACTTGTCTGCGATTCTTCACAAGTGACTTAACAAGGGAAGGATACCAAGTCGAAGTGGCCATCCGTGAAACCTATACTCAGAGATGTGTTTTCGGACGCTGATCTCGAATCCACTCTCCAAATTTGCGAAACGATTCTCTGAAAAGTGTTACGGAGGTTGTTTCGAATGAAAGCCCACTGTAAGAGACCCGGCAGAGCTCGGCTTCCAGCGGCGGCTTGGCCGAGTGGTAGTGTTGGCGGCTTCCAGTGGTGAGACCATGGATGGGATCTTGCTGGGCATGATTTTTTGCTTTTTGTAATTAGGTCTAATTTAAATATAAAAAATTATTCAGTGTTGAAATTTTCACTGCATCCAAAGCTAACGCATGTTTAGAGGGGTTTGTTTAACGCATTCCACTTTTTCGTAATGTTTCGACCTTGCCGAGGTGTTTCTACGCCACGGAAGTGACGTATATCCGACGATGGGCTAAACAAATGGGAGTTGCTTGCTCAACGGACCAAACTATCTTTGAAGGCTTAATTCTAGAAAGCTGACATTTGGACCCAATTTCGAAACTCGGTCTACAATGAGTCGAAGGTGTTATCCCTAGCCCCAGCCACTACCCTCCTGCTCCTCCTGGGCAGCGAGCGTGTACATGAAAAAATATCATATTAATCTTCGGATGGCACGAGCAAGTAGAGCAGGCAACTATATCTCTTTCACAATAATGACTGAAAGTTTAATTCAATCCCACGATCAGGCTCTGACAGTGGGTGATGGATAGATGACTGCCCACATTTTCGACTTCAAGTCAAAATTTTAGATTTGGACCAAATGTTGTTGAAAGGGGTGTTTCGACGCGCTGAACACGAATATCGCATCTGCTTGGCACGAAATTGCCTTACGCGTGCGCTACGGGTGTCAGAGGCGGTCACTTGCAAATGACGCGCACAGTGCTCGAAGCTCTTCGCCAGCTCTGTTTACTTGTGCTATAGGCAATCGCTGATAACTTAGCATGGATAAGAGTCCCTTAAACAACGTTCACAAGAAAAGCAAAAGTGAGAACTCGCCAAGAACTCGAACTCACGACCTCTCGTTCGTTGAGCCGCACCGCTGCCACTGCACTATCTCGCTTCATAACTACGTTCAAAGAGTCGTTTCGCAGATTTGGAGAGCAGATTTGAGATAAGCGTCCAAAAACACATCTAGTGGTGTATGTCTCGTTACAAATGGCCACTTCGACCTGGTATCCTTCCCTTGTAAGTCCCACGAGTTAATCATCAAAGCTGCTGCATGCCTCAACCAATCATGCAGTCTATTTTGAAACTACAGTATTCAAAAACAAGACTTTGCCTATAACACCATTCTCCTTCTATTATATTAGTCCCAAACAATAAACAGTATACTTCTCAGGAAACCGCTCGAAACACGCCGCAACCTCTTCTGGACCAACTCTCCAGCATTCCTGACTCAGATGATGCCGTGTGTGTCACTCCCCACGTTGCCGTCGTTTTCTCGCTGATTACGGTCGGAGCCATCGACACACTGTTTGTGCCTCGGTATTGCTCTCGTTTGTGACAATAACAGGACTAGGAGATTTCGAATAACAGCCATCGCTATTGCAGGACTTTTTTTTCCTGATTTTCTTTTGATATTTTGTTCCTTATTACCGTGAAACTGGTACTTCTTCAATTATTTCTGGCCCGTTTGATATCATTCCCTATCCACTTCGTCCTTGTTTTTCTTGTCTTCTAAATCAGCACAATCCAGTCCATTTTGGTCTCTTCCCGCTATTTCTCTGGGATTATTACTGTTGTTCTCTCTTTATCTTGATTCGCTAGATAAATCTGGTTTATCTGTATACGAGATGTGAAACACAAGAGCTGTCATATTTGCAAACGTATTCAGAATGGCTTGTTCCGGAAAGTTCCAATAGCCTTAAAGGCAGCGGTTGGGCTTATGTTGTGTTATGACGCTTCAAACTGACCATGAGTGTTGAGATGTCCGACAGTCAAGAAAAACAAAAAGAAACC